TACAAGGGTCAACAGCAGATATTTACCTGCTATCAAAGGCTTTTCTCTCAAGAAAGTATAGTTTTGCAAACAGCTAAAAAGACAGTTCACATTTTTCCTGACTTGTCTCGACACAAAGTATGGCCGCTCCATCTGTAGAAAATGATCACCTCTTTTATCATCTAATTTTCCAAAATCTCTTTTCCTGTTTCTGAAAATGTACATATTTGTCCACTATGACTGAATTCACATAAAATAACTCTCCATGCTCTTCTGAAACAAAAGTGATCTCATGAAACCAATTATGTGACAGCCACTGAGTGTTAAAAATTCACATACACCATAACAGGTCATGGGTACTGTTTCCTGGGTGCCACATCTATGACTTGTCCCTTACCCTTGTCTTCAGATCGCTCAGAACTGTACTACACTCTCCAGATTCTCCTCTGTGTCTGCAAGGCTTCTCTGTGTCTCTAATTTACCTTCTTCTAATCTTTTCCACTCACCCCCTGTTCTGTCTTGTTGCCACACTCCCCTGTGAAGATCGTACTACTTCCCACAGCTGTCAGCATCCCTTCAGCCAGAATCAGCTCATCAGTGTCAGTGAGCACCAGCATCATCCTCTCAGCTCACATGTCCAACCTGACTGTCTGGCGGAGGCTCCCATCTTTCAACAGCTAAGAAAAATATTCATTTAACATAATCAGACCCAATCATCAAACCCAGCACTAATCTGCCTCTTTCAAAGGATTTAACTGATCTCCAGAGTCAGAATATTTATTTTCCCTGTATTTGTGCTTCAATGAAATCACATTTCTATTGTAGAACACCTGACTCCCTCAAAATCTCATCTATGTGTGTATCTACACTATCCATCGAGTAATGGGCAGAGAAGATGTGTGATGTAAAGAGAGACTAATTATTTAGTTTTATTTCATTTGTCCAGTTTAACTTTACATAGTGTCGGCTTCATCAGTAAAATGGAAAAAATACCTATTATATAAGGGCATTGCGCATTCAACAGGAAATTGGGGGAAACAATCTAGTACAAAAGGGGGTCAACAAGGCTCCACCAGGAGCAGTATGAATCCTTGAAAGGCAGAGACTGTATCAGGCTTGCTTGTTACTAACACCTACCTAGCTGTTTACTATGAGTGAACACATGAAATGAAAACTGAAATACTTTCGTTTACTACTAAAGCATCCTCCTAGAGGGTGATTTTAGAACAAGTGAACCATTAGAGGTCAGTGTTCACATCTTTTGGCCCCCTCTCAAATTACATGTCTCTGAATCCACAAAAGAAACAATATAAATAAAACAATACTCTTTCCAGACTTCCTGCTGCAGTGAAGTCCCCTGGTATCTCTGTAGCTTCTGTAAAAACATGAGAACTCGGCAGCTTTTCAAATGGTACTTGTTTCACTATCAGATGGCTTAAAGGAGTGAACAGCATCTTCTAGGCCAGAGTACTAGAACTGAATGTTCCCTTTCAGTCCATGGTTTTTGTTCCTATGGTGTCTTCAATATTTTGTGGTGGGTCCTAACCAATTACTTAATGCCTTAATAAGAGGTATTCATTGAAACAGCTCAGGATGCTCCTTTTTCTAATCAACTTTTTCTTCTGCCTCTTCTTACAATAAAGTACAGCTGTGTTTCAGTCATCTTTGGGGGACTGTTCTAGGACTCCACCAGACATCAAAATTCATAGATACTCACGTATCTTATGTAATATGGCAAAATCTTTGTATATAGTATATACATATCCTACTATACATTTTAAATCATCTCTAGATCATTTACAATGCCTCATAAGATGTCGATGCAATGTAATAATTGTCATAGTTTATGAATAATAATAAAGTATTCCATATACATTTTTTCAAAGTGCTTTTTAAAGAGAATACTCATCATTCACAAATTAACATCTATAGGTTAAAAATCAGAAGAAAAATCAAACCTGGACATACAAATTATTTTACAGGTAACAAAGAGAATACCTCATATCTAAACCTATGATATGTAATATTATCTGTAGTCAGAAGAAAATGTATACTTCTTAAAATTATATATTTTTAAAATAAATAAAACTTGTATAACCTATGATATTGTTTAAAGCCTACAAAGAAAAAATAAGTTAGAATGAAATAACAAATATAAACACCAAACTCAATAAACAGAAAAAAATAATGAGTAATAACATATACATGTGGGTATGTACGTGTTGATGGCTGGATGGATCCATAGACAGCTCCCAGTCAGCTGTATATCTGTCCTACGTGACTGAAGTTTTTCTGTTAGATTTGAAAAATATTTGGGAGATTTTGCTGGTCACTAATCTCCAGTGGAACAGGAATTCACCTGCATCCTAGTCCAATTAAGATCTTTCTAGTTCAGCGATTTCTTTTGCTTCTAAAGCGCTAAAAACCTTTCGTTGTAGGCTCTCTGTTCACTGGTCCTTCTTCTGCGTTAAGGATTCATGAAAAATATGTCTTCTTCCTTTATTTTTTTACAGCCTTTTAGGAATCTGAATAAGCAGACCTAATTCTTCATACATGACTTTTTGTTATGATGCTTTGGTTGGCTGATGAAAGTCTGTAGGAATTATGAGCCTGAAACAGATCTCTCCCATTCAAGATCACCAGAAAAAGTCAATGACTTCTCTATCTCTCCTAATGAGTCTGTTCTGGTCTTTCCTCTGTAAGATATACTCCTACTATATATAGAAAATAAAAGTAGCCATTGTGCCTTATGTCCCCTTGGCTAAGATCTCAAGTCCAAATACTTTTGATCTGCAAATGATTGACAGAACTTAATAGATACAAAGGGACAACTATGTTCAGCTGAACTTTTCTATACATCCTGACTCTGTGCCAAGAAAAATTTAATCCAGGAGCTTAAGAAGTATTAAATTACAAATGGTTTGGTTTCATCAGATTCAAAATTCCTATTTTGGAGCTCTTCATGCTTTGTTGTCTTTTTTTGAACTATAACAAAGAGATGCAGGATACCTCAGAAAGAAATGTGGACCTTTTTATTGAAGAACAATGTAGAACATTTATTAGACTTTAATATTAAAACCAGAAAACTCCTGATCACTGTTATAATGATGGATGTACTGAGACACTCCAGTATTTTATTAGAGAATAATAGCTTACATTGGGTGACACCTCAGTAGTTATGGATTGCAAACCAGCAGATCACACACAGGCCACATGTAGCTCAGACAAACATTTAAAATTAAGAACACTTCACATAAAAGAATTCAAACCTTCTGTTTTTCCTGAAAAACATGGTTTTAGACCTGGGCAACAACTCCAGTACAGTAGGAACTGCCCTCCTTCCGGAGGTTCGCCTGCTGGAGAGTCTGCAGCCCACACTCACCTTCCCTGCCCCTTCACCAGGTTGCTCAGCTCCTCTGTCTCACTTGTCAAACCCCTGCACACATTTTCTATGCAGACACATTTTTTAAGCTTCCTCAACACTAGCTTTCTGACCTTCCAAAAGGTTTAAGTCTTGGATCCCTGAGCTTTATACTGAGGATAATTCCTTGACTTCATGGTTATTATGAGGATTTAAAAAAGAAATAAATGAAAAGTGATACATAAACTATAATGTAAAATACCTATCATTCTGTTTATCTCACAGCACTCTGTGAGTTGCATAAATCCTCCTTTCCTACCTCAGTTATTACTTGGCTTCCTTGTTCCTCATACTATTACATCCCATATGACAGTTTAAAATCTAAATTAAAAAATACTACGTCCTTTGCATTATCAAAAGGTAGAAAAGATGAACAGATATCACAGAGAAACAAAATGAACTCTTTAATGGCAGTGAATCTTTACTAAGTCATTTGTATTTGTGAAGTATAAAATCAGTGCAAAGTGTAATTAGTTATTGGACTGCTGAAGACTTCAAGAGCTGTGTTACAAGTTTACCCACTAGCATGGAAGGCCTCAAAACAGAATTAGCGGCCCGGATGTTAGAGGATCCTATGAAATAAGGTCTCTATCTTATTGTGGGCTCTGTTAGTGTTTTAGTAAAGGATCCAATACATCAAAAAAAATGCACATTTAATATGAGCTCTGAAAGCTTAGAATGGAGTGTGAAGCCACTGTACTTGTTTTATATCTATCTCTATCAATATATCTCTATCAATAATTGTTTTATATCTATATCAATATATCTCAACAAGTCAACAGAAGGTTTGAAAGAAAATATTCTCAGAAATGAGCAAAGGTGGGGAAAATTTAGTAACAAGACAGTACATATAGAATGTTAACACAGATGCACGTCATGAATGCTAACTTGTTCCTGAGGAATTCACAGATGCCTACTCCTGTTCTGGTCAATTTACAGCTGAAAATCAACCTGGTGTGGGGAATCGCAAATCATCTATTTTAATTATTAAGGTAATCATGCTTAAGCCACCTGCAAATCAGAACTAGAAATCGAGGGAAACGGGATTTAAATTGGAATCAGCATTCTTTATAAGATCACCAGAACAGGATAATTTATGATTCAAGACACGATCTGTTGAAAAATTCATCTGATGAATCCTTTTAAAAGCATGTCATATAGTGCAATTATAGCTTTTCCTGATGTTGAATGAAAACATAGCCTAAATGCAAATTAATGAATGTCAAACTGCCACGAGGTCCTCCGTGTCTATCTTATTTTAAAAATCAAAATACATAACAGCATCGTTTAAGAGACCAGTTCTTTCAATTGATGTCCCAAGACTGATGTTTAAGCAGGTCTCCTTGGCAACCAAGGAACATAGTGCGTACTGGGCTAGAGGAAGAGAGAAAGAGGGAGCAACTCCAGGGTTGGCAAACAAGTAACCCGAGTAGTAATTGCTCCCACTAGACGACGCTGGTAGAGGCCGCTGGTAGAGGCTGCAGCTCCTGAAATTCCAACTCCACGTCCCTCACACTCTGCACACCAGCAGCCTCCCGCCTTCTCCCCGGGTCTGCAGGCACTAACCCCAAACTGATTTCAAGGAGAGGGTCTGGCTTACCCGATGGGGTGAGCAGTCTGCAGCAGCGCAGCACCGGGCTCTCCCCGATGCACAATGACTCTGCTTCGCCCCACGAAGACCGGGTTAAGATAAATGCAGCAGCTTCGCTCGGCCGGTTGGGCTGCGGTAGCGGAGACCCGCGTGCTAGCGTTCTTGTCGGGATGTGTGTGTGCGTGCGTGTGTGTGTGCGCGTGTGTCTGTGCGTGTATATGCAGAGTGCGCGCGCCGCTGCGCGCCCCCGCCTCCCTCGCAGGGAAGGAGCGTCCTCTAGTAAAGAAAAAGCACCAGAGCGCAGCCCCGCAGCTGGCCCGGCCGGCTCCCAGCCCGGCCGCAGCGTCAGCCGAGACGCACCGAGACGGCCGCCGGGCGGCGCACGGAACGCCCCTCCCGCCCCGCCCCCGCCGGGCGCGCGCTCCCGCCCGCCCCGCCCCCGCCGCGCGCGCCCGCGCTCCCGGAAGTGCCCCTCCCCCGGCCGGCCGAGCTGCAGACCCGCTGCTGGCCGCTGCGTCCGGGCGGCTGCTGCAGCTGCGGAGCCTGCCGAGGCGGACGCGGTGGAGCGCAGAGCGCGCCTCGGACTCCCTCGCCAGGGCCATCGAGCGGTTTGTGCCAACTGCGTAGTGACCCCAGCCTGGTGTGCGGGGAGTGGTGGCCCTCGGCTTCCCTCCCCCGACCCGCTGACTCGTGAAGTTCAAGTTGCCTCTGCGCCTAGTGCCCCGAAGGCCTTAGGATAATCTGTTTCACGGTAACGTTGGGAACAAACTCAGGGGGACTAAGAAATGTCAGGGGTCAAACCCCTCAGCGCTGGACAGAAGCCCTGAACCTGTGGAATGAGAAAGGGTAATTTTATTTGGTTCCACAGTAGCGTAGTCAGCACTAAAACCACCGACAACCGCAGTACCCTACCATTAAATTCCAGGCCCTCAGCCCAGACATTTCTCAGTTTGCTCCCTTACAAGAGATTTAAGATACTTTCTATCTCGTGTACCATTAAATAGGTTCTTTCTCCTCAAGAAAATAACTTTTAAAAACGATGCTTCCTAAAAGCTGTTCTTTAGTGATTACTTGCTTAACCCTTTTTTTTTTTTAAAGTTAGTCCTTAGAATGTGGTGGGCAATGTTGTTAGGTTAGGGCTTTTAGTTGTTAATAAGAAGATACTGTCTCTGTTTCAGTCGTCATACTAAGAGATAAACTGAAGAAGAAAATAAATGGTGTGGGTCCTTTGGTGGCAGACAACAGAAGACTGCTTCACTCAATTTAAACAAAAGGAAATTAGTAGAAGAGTAGAGACAGACTGGATGGAGGCCTGCCTAGATGACCAGGCTGGGAAGTCATCAGGAGTTACGGTAACTTCAGAGGGCAGGAAAGCAGTAAAACGAGATAATTAGGGCAGGAATGTCATGAGTGGACTCTTGCTGGGATAAATGAACCCCATCTATTGCTCTTTACACTGTATTCCCAATCCAGATTCCCTCTTGCAGTTTTCCTAACTTGGCATCTCAGCCAGTCAAGTTGGCTAGGGTAGGACACTGATTACAGCGCTATGTGAGATTCAAGAAAGAAAAATGAACAGCGAGCAGCTGGAAAATACCTTCCCAACAGGAAATACGGTACCAGGTTAAATCAGTTAGGGAAATTCGTTTAGCAGGACCCCTGTAACAATGGGGTATTGTAGACTCTTGAGTTCTCACACTAAGGAAATTTCTTTCACTAGTCTTTGGTTGAGTATGGAACACTTACTTTTATCTTTTTCTGGGAAATGTTTTGGAACATCATAGCTTTTGTGGCATTTTTGTTGTTGTTTTCATGTATCGTGAGCTTGTCCATGGACAAAGACATAAAAGCACAGAACAAATCTAGTGTTACAAGCTTTGTATGATCTAATGACTATATCCCAGTTCCTTATTCTACTTCAGAGCAAACCCCTCTCATGGCAGCCTTTTCCCATAGCAAGTGAGGAAGTTCAGTGTCATTCCTAAGGCCGGTATTGAGGGTTTCTATCACATTAAGAGTCACTGAGCCGTATTTTTAATTACTATACTAACAGAGAAAACAGATCAGTATTATCCAAAAATGAAAATTGATTTCTGGCAGATACTCTCCAGTTTTCAAGTAGAAAACACAAATAACTCTAGCTAATTTATTGAGTTAAGATGTGTTTAAATTAAATAATTCAGTTTATTCAACTACTCATGGGTGTGTGCTGTAGCTTTTTCATCCTATTCAATAGGAATCAGCATCACTCAAACCTAATTGTGCCAAGGGAAAGTTTTTTTTTTTTTAATTTTATGTTTAAAAAGGGTAAAACTAAACAGAACAAAACAGAACAAAGCAGATCAGAAGAAAACAGTATGACACAGATTTCAAAGCACAGCAGGAGAGCTACAGTGACTACCACAATGTCTCTTGTTTTCTTTTAAATGGTTGTCTATATCGTCACAGACCATGAATTCATCCAAAACAAAATAGTATAAAGCTGATAAAAACAGAGTAATGAAGGCATTACAGGCCTTCAAAACCACACAACATGAAAATTAACAATGGGCTACCATAATGTCTCTGGTTCTTTTCAAAATAGCTGTCCATACCTTTATGTATGTTGAAATTAAACAATACAAAACAGCCTAAAACCACTCTGAACAAAATAGAAGCATTCATGGATTTCACACATAATGATATGGAATCATCAATGCATACCATAAGTCTGTTTTTCTTCAAAGTAGCTGTTTTTTCCATCACACATAATATAACCTATTCTCATGAACTGTTTAGGAGAAGTTCTATGCATGTATAGGCCTCTACATGTATTCCTATCCTTTCTGTTTTAGAGGGAAAAACAAAACAAACATTACTGGAAAAATAAGAAACAAAAAAGACAAATGACGATAGCAAAGAGCCCAAAACAATAATGATATAGGCAGACTTTCAAAACACAGTAGTAGGGACAGAACTAAGTTTGATATTTTTACATAGTGATCTTCAAGTGTTCCTCAGGTCACCTGACACAAACATGCAAAATTGTTTTAATCCTATGACTATTAACTGCTTTGTTCTATGAACTTAATGGAATTTGTAGCATAATCATCTTAGCTATCTTTCGTGTGTCTATACAAATTTAGATATTTTTTCTTTTCCCTTCCTTTTTCTTTTTCCTCCTTCTCCCCGAGATATTATCCCCCCCCCCTTGAGCAGATTCTTAGCCTTTCACTGTATTTATTGAGACTTTTGTATCTTATTACTCTTACCATTTCTTACACTAGGGAGATAGTATGGTATTTACACGTGTGAGTTTGATGATTTCACTTATGAGTATGGTCTCAAGTTACATCTACTTACTTATAAAAATCTCAATGTGATCATTCTTTATAGCTGAGTAGTTCTCTGTTGTACAAAAATACCACATCTTTTTTATCCATTCCTCAGTTGATGGGCATTCAGGTTGTTTCCAAAATCTAGTTATTACAACTTGTACTGCTATAAACATGGATGCACATATATCATTGTGAAAATGTTTAATGTTAAAATGTTAGAAATTTACATTTTTCCTGCTACATTCTGTGGTACCAAATGATATTTTCAGTCTAATTCATTCTATTCAACTAGACATGTAATAGGAACTTAGTAAAATTTACTGTAGTGAATAGAAAATAATCCCTACCTATAAATATTTTAATTACATGACTAAATGCATTACTAAAGAGGTACAGACAAAATAGAAAATGGGCTCTTGTTAGGGTAAGGCAATGTTAAAATCAATCATACTTTTTCATGTATCCAATTGTCAAAAATACAAAACAATATAATACCTAATATTAGAAAGAAGGTGGGTAAATGCGAATGAGAGTGAAAGTGAACATTTTGGAGGACAGCTTGTCAATATTTACATTTTTTAAAACTCTATGTATCTTTTGTTCCACCTCAGCCTCTAAAAATTAGGTGTACTTCAAATAAAAGTTCAAAATCTTACATAAAAAGATTGTCAATGCAGAGGGCGAAGGAACCTTTTTACACTGCTGATGGGAATGTAAATTAGTGTAGCTACCACAGAAATCAATATGAAAATTCTCAAATTCTCAAAAATAGAGCTATCATTTGATTCAGGTAAGCCAATATTTGCTATATATTTGAAGGATTTAAAGTCAGCATGTCATGGTGATACCTGCATATCAGTTTATTGTGGCACCATGTTCAATAACCAAGACATGGAACTACCCTAAACGCCCATCAATGGATGACTCAAAATAGAAAATATTGTACATATACAGTATTACTCAGCAATAAAAAACACAAAATTTTGTCATTCATAAAAAAATCACCATGTTAAGAAAAATAAGCCTGACTCAGACAAATATAGAATATTTTCCCTAATATGTTTGTATAATCTAAAAAATATGACCAGAAAGTAGAAGGGAGACTTATTAAGCAAAATGAAAAGAATAAGGATGAGGGGAAAGTAATAGGAAAGACAAATAGGATCGAAGTGTACTATATGCCCTGAAACCCTGCAAAACGTGAAACTACGGAGCAGGATGGGCGAAGGAGCTGATGTGGGGAAACAACCAAGCTATGTTATATACACGTACAAATCTGCCAAAATCTTAGTAATATCCAAGGAGAAGAAAAAATAGGAGGACAGAGTGACAGAGACAAAACTACAGAAGTATTATCAGGGGCCAGTCAAAATATGAGGATACTAAGTAGCTGTTTTTTTAACTGCTGATTTTCACATTGTGACATCAAAGGTATATCAGTTTTCTTAAACAGCAAATTGAAAGTCAGTTGGTATAATCTGATCTAGTTTGGGTAAAATATGAAGGGAGGAAAAGAGAGAGTTGTGTGTGTAACTGTTTTCCATCTTACTGGTTCAAGAGGAAATGAGTTCATTTCAGGCTCCAATCTCACATACATAAAGATTCTGGGACCTACCCTGTCATACCACTGTCACTGACACTCTGCCACTCTCTGACCCAAGGGATTCACAGATCCTAGCCATCAAAAGGGTCAGGATGGGTCCCTTCCCCTGCTGAATGTTTTACTGTGGTGGGACACAGTGCTGAGCTCAGCTTAATGAAGACGAAGTCAGAAGGTTCTGGGGGACAGTGGTAGAGAATGGTATTTCTACTGCTAATTGTACCCCTGGCCCAGGATTCTTCTTCCTAACCAGGCCCATTATCCTGGCCTTGAGGATCATACTTCTTTATTAAGTTGACACTAGCTACTGATAAGAGGCTAGGGCACAGCAACATGGCTGGAGCTATTGGGCACAACTTGCCTACTGAAGAGGCCTATTAATCATGAGCACAGAGCAGCGACTCCTGAGATCAAGCCAAACCCTGAACATGGTATCAATCTTCTGATACAAGAACATGTGAACCTGGCACTTGGTATCCATCTTCCAGCAGAAATGGAGTGGGACCGCCTGGACCAGCCATCAAAGAGGATAAAAAAGCAACTGACTGCCGCCACTGCCCTTTTTTCCTGCAGGGCTCTGTTCTGCTTACAAGAAATATCTTCTCTTTTTCCTTTAAAGCACCCTTTTTTATCCTGAGAACTTCTTTTGTTCTTCTTTTCTTTTTCTTATTTCTGCATGAAAGCAGCTGTTTTTACATTCACCAATTGTCTTAATTCATTTAATGAGACAATAAGAACACGGGAGACAGTGCTAGTCCATACCCCACCCAGTAACACTTTCATCATCACACCCATGGAAACCTCTCCAGTTTTCCCAGTTGATGAGTTTTGCTTTCCTCATCATGTTTTTCCCATAAATCCTTTCTTCTTCTGGACATGTAAACCTCTGCTTTACCCTGGAGGCGTGGCCTTCTGAAACTCAAGTCCAC